GAGGCAGGAGGATCACTTGAGGCCAGAAATTCAAGAACAGATTTCTATCCTTTGGGGTGGAGGAAAGACTGCAATATATTTTTACCCTTTCTATGCAAATATTATAAAATCCTCCCCTTTTATAGAAGTGATCAAAGACTATGCAGGCAAAAATAAATCATGAAATCAAGAAGAAGTATTACAGGCAGTTGATACAAGTGTTATGTTCTGAATTTTGTGATGTCAGTGATATTTCTCAGATTTCTCAGATTGGTAGTTTGTTGTGGTTTCTTCTCTAATTTTCAATAAATATTCATCTTTGACCTGAAATTTGTTTTTGTAACTTATATTTATTTTTTTTCTTAAAGTGGTCCATAAGATTGTGGAAGTTTCAAACCCTATAAAATGTGGATTGGAGCCAGGTGCCGTGGCCCATTCCTGTAATCTCAGCACTTTGGCAGGCAGAGGAAGGATTGCTTAAGGCCAGGAGATTGAGACAAGCCTGGACAACATAGCAAGACCCTGTCTCTAAAAAAAAAAATTTAAAAATTAGCCAGGTGTGGTGGCATGCATCTGTAGGCCCGGCTACTCAGGAGGCTAAGGCAGGAGGATTGCTTGAGCCCAGAAGTTCAAGGTTGCAGTGAGTTGTGATGGTGCCACTGCACTCTTGCCTGGATGACAGAACAAGACCCTGTCTCTAAAAAAAAGAAAAATGTGGACTGGCACTTATATCCAGGCATCAGCTCACCCTGCCCCCTCACCACACCTCATCCAAAGACATAATCTCATTCACCCCACAGTCCCACATGCCCCCAAAGTGCTCAATACATATGCACCCAATGAATGGTTAAATCTTTTTTTATTATTAGCAAAAATTGAGAAGAAGATGTTTCTGATGTTTTCTTGAGGAAGATGGGATGACGGTAGCTTTGAACTTATAGCCCTGAGAGCAGCTGATTTTGCACACCCTTGGAATGCTCTGGAGCACAGGCACTAAAGTGCGTGGCCACAAGTCACAGATGATTCAGGATTCTCCACACTCCTCTAAACCTGCTCTAAAGAGGGACTAGGAGGAAGAGAAACAGGTGCCCTGGGGAGTTGGAAACCTACAAAAACCCCCAGAATCCTATCAGTAGGTGTGGCCTCAGACCTGAGAGGCCATTGGCTGGATTCCCTG